CAAACTACCGGAGAGAAAGCATGGAAGGGCAGGGATGAATTCCGGGGACTTGCATTTTTTTTCTTACATCTTATAAACACCGGATAAGATACTGGAGAATCCTGCATTCTGCAATTATCAACAGGCACAAACAAGCCAAAACCCTAAATCAACCCTTTCTCTCCAAACGAGGAGAAATTTATTATTTTTTAAACTTTTCATACAATATATTCTTATCATATTCTTTACCCTCCTCCCAGTTCTGCCAAATCCTCTCCATCTTCCTACCCACCTATTGTATGACAATACTTTTCCTGGAAAGACACGGCATACCCATCTACTACCCCAGATAGGAAGCCCACAGAAGAGCAAAGAACAGGTACCACCAAAGTCCAACTTGGTGTACCAATGAGTTTTATTGGTACAGGAGTGTGGGTGAGGAGTTATTTCCAGGAGCAGAAATAATTCATTTACTTCTATCACCAAATCCCAGCCTCGAATCGGTAAATGTCACAAAAGCTGGGAACCTGGAGCACACTACACAGCCTTCAGGCCTCTCACCAGGTTGGAGAGTGTCATTTCCAGGGGCCTTGATTGAACTAAGCCCCTTCCAGGCAGCTCAGCTAGTTTCTGCTTCTTCCGGGCAGCTGGTCTGGTCTCAGTCTTCTTTGCAGCAGCCTGGCTTGTCTGAGAATCACTCTCAGCAGTCTTTAACATTTACTCTTGGGAGGGAGGGGCCTAGTGAATCTGGTCGGTTTCAGGGACTTTCTGAGGCTATTTTGAGTTGTTTACTAAGTTTTAAGCAGAATCTCAGAGGAAACTGCTACACAACACCCAACTTCATATCTCTCTCTCTCTCTCTCTCTCTCTCTCTCTCTACTCTCTCTCTCTCTCTCTCTCTCTCTCTCTCCCTCCCTCCCTCCCTCCCTCCCTCCCTCCCTCCCTCCCTCCCTCCCTCCCCCCCCTCCCCCCCCTCCCTCCCTCCCCCTCCCTCCCTCCCTCCCTCCCTCCCTCCCCCCTCCCTCCAACATTAAAAATGAAACAAACCAAAACTTATTTAAGACTAAAAAGACAAAAAACACCAAATCATAACCACAGGAGGAAAAAAAAACAAAGAACATGGAGTTCATTTTGTGTTAGCCAACTACTCCTCATCTTGAGGCCTGCCTTGGAGTGTGGTGGATATACCCAATGTAACTCTATTGGAGAAAACTAAGTTCCCTTTCCCAGTTGGTATCAATTCAAATAGCTTCTTCTTGGTTAGGGGTGGGACTTTGTACTAGCTTTCCCTCCTCACTTCTGGGATTTTGTCTGACTTAAATGTGTGCAGTTATTGTACATGTTGTCACAGTTTTGATAATGCTACTCTGGCCCTACTGTAGCCAACCATGCAAGGAATGAAGCCTCTCAGCCCTGTGCTGTCACAAGTCTTCCCAGAGAAGTAAACTTCTCTATATTTCTACCAAGCAGCCAGGGAAAACAATTCTAAGATAGCTGTCCACATACTTCTTCCACTGAACTAAAGTCAGTAGACAGAATAAGAACTGAAATTCCACCCAGCCCAGCACCAATGAGGCAGAAAGATGAAGAGGAAAGTTGTACTACATTGGTGTGATTCAAATGAGAATTGTCCCCCATAGGCTCATGTAGTTGAGCACTAGGTCCCTAGCTGGTGGTGCTGTTTGGAGAGGTTGTGGAATCTTTAAGAAGTAGAGGCTTGCTGGAGGAAGTGTGTCACTGGGGGTGAGCTTTAACCTTGCCTTGGTTCCTGTTCTGTCTCTCTGCTTCCTGTGTGTGGATAAAAATGTGGTCGTTTTGTTTCCAGCTACCATGCCTTCCCTGGCATCATGGACTCTATCCCTCTGGAACTATAAGCTAAAATAAACCCTCCCTTCCCTAAGTTTATTTTGGTCACAGTATTTTATCAAAGAAATAGAAAAACTAACTAATAACAGGTCTTGAAACCTCTGACTATCTGGGAGTGCCAGTAGCACCCATATGTTTCATATGATGCCTGGACTCCAGGCATCTAGTGAAGGATATGTGAGCTAGCAACCACCCTGAAATATGCACTCCTATTACATATGAAACAGGAGGTAGAATGGATGAAATTCTCCACTTCTCCCTCTCTGGAGGGGAGTTAAACTCTCAGACTTCTGCAGTTGCCATGAGTGAAAATGCTTCACTGAGGAGGCATTACTGAATAGCCCTTCAACATGAGTGTGTGTGTGTGTGTGTGTGTGTGTGTGTGTGTGTGTGTGTGTGTGTGTGTGTTTAAGCAGATCAACTACCTGCAGAAAACATTATACAAGACCTAGCACCTTACAACTTAATACCCAAAATGTCTTGTCCCACTAAACATCAGGAGCCTCACATGAGAAAAGGCAGTCAACATTTTATAACACTGAATGGCACTGGAGTTGTCTGACAAGGATTTTGGAGTGGCTGTCATAGTTCACCACGTTGGCATCCTGCTTCTTCTGTGATGTCAGAACCCTCACACACTAGGATGTGGGTATTTGCAGTGCCTCCTCCAGCTTCTGTACCCTTCCTTTGGGCACCTGCATGATCACCAGAGTCTTCATCTTCTTCATCTTAGTCCTTCTCAATGTGTACAACCTAGGCCTAAAACCCATCACCATATATTGCTCTGCTTTCTCTTTTTCTCCAAATACTGATTTCTAACATAATAAAGAATGCATTCATACACTGAGTCAGTGGCTTATTATCAGAATGTAAATTCACCAGGGCAAGGAATTTCATGTAGTTTGAAAACATTCTGTGATGTGGGATGGTCTATATGTCAAATGTGTTGCTGATTGGTCAATGAATAAATCACTGATTGGCAGTGGCCAGGCAGGAAGTATAGGTGGGACAAGGAGGAGAATAGAGCTGGGAAGTGGAAGGCTGAGTCAGGGAGACACTGCCAGCCGCCATCAGGATAAGGAAGATGTAAAGTACCGGTAAGCCACAAGCCACGTGGCAAGGTATAGATTAATAGAAATGGATTAATTTAAGCTGTAAGAACAGTTAGCAAGAAGCCTGCCACGGCCATACAGTTTGAAACCAATATAAGTCTCTGTGTTTATTTGATCGGGTTTGAGCGGCTTGGGACTGGCGGGTGAGAGAGATTTGTCCTGACTGTGGGCCAGGCAGGAAAACTCAAGCTACAATTCTGAGAACCCACCCACCTAGAAAAAGCCCTGGTACAGTAAGTGCCTATCCAATGTTTGTAGTCTATAGTGAATTAGCTGTATGTCGATTCTTCTCTGACAGCATATCACTATATACTGTATTACTTAAAGTTTAAGCTGGGATGTGCATTTGACACTCTTACAGTGAGATTCAACATAGATATATCATTTTAAGCATGGAAATGAGATTGCAAATAAACTCTCCATATTATTAGCATAAAGATATATTGGATAGCTCTTTACTATCCATATATCATTGAGAGTGAAATAAAGGAACTTTAGTCTTTGAAACTGAGATGTTTAGAAGAGAAAGGTATATGATAGAAAGGCTCCTTGGTCAAATTGAAGGCTGACAGGACATATTTTTTTAATTGATGTTGAGGAAAATTGAATGAAGAGCTAGTGAGATGGCTTAGCTGGTAAAAGTAGCTAACTGCACTAGCCTGATGTAAGGTTGATCCTTAGAAACCATCGTAAAATGAAAGAAGTGACTTCCAAAAGCTGGCCTCTGGCACACACACACACACACACACACACACACACACACACACACACACATACACACATACACGATAAAATAATAATAATAATTTTTTAAGTAAATTGATTTAGGTCCAGGGGAAATGTCTTACTTAGTTGGGAAAGTGTTTGCTAAGTAAGTAAGCATCTAACATGAGTTCAAACCCCAGGACCCACAAAAATATTCCGGCATGATGGCACACATTTGTGATCTCAGCACTGGGGGCAGAGACAGGTGAATCCCTGGGGCTCTCTAGCCAGTCAACTTAACCTAATCATTGAGTTCAAAGTCAGTGAGAAATATTGCCTCAAGAAGTAGACAGTACCCTAGGACTGTCACCCAAGGTTCACCCACCTCTAGCCTCCACACACATGCATGTCATTGGCACACACCTGAACACTAACGTATCACAGAGAGAGAGAAGGAAAAGAGAAATGAATCAACCTGTAGATTCTTTATCCCAAGCGTGGGTTTTGGGGGGTTTTTTTGTTTGTTTTGTTTTGTTTTGTTTTTTTGTCTTGTTTGTTTTGGTTTTGTTCTTGTTTTTCTGGGAACCTCAATTCACATTTGTCTCCATCTGCTTCAGAATATCTTCACGGGGGTGTATGACTATTAGCTGAAACAGGAAATGCCTAGCCATCCTCATCCTCTCAAGCCTGCATCCCATGCCTTCTCTTTTTGCCAGCCACTTAGTAGCTCTCTCACCTTCTCCCATGCCCCACCACATCTTCCTTCAAATTCTTCTCCTCTCTGTCACTCATTTTCATCCTCACGGTTCTCAGTCTTCCTCCTGTCACTGTTTCATACCTGGGTTTCTTTAAAAAAAAAAAATCTAGCTGGTTTTCCTGCCTCCCATCACATCTGCAGCTCAACAGTATGCATGACCACTTCTTAATCTTATTCATTTAAATAGTCCAAGTGCCTCAGATTCCAGGGCATTCTACTGCCAGCAATGTCCAGTCTGATCCAGTCTGATCCCTCTCCTCATCTCTCCTTTATTTCCATTCTGTTGAGTAGTACTTGATGATCAATACAATTGCAGATTTTTTTAAGAGAAAAAGTGGAAGAAACATCGATTGAAGGTGTTTCAGAAATGGTGCTGCATGGGATGTTGATAGTTGTGATGAGAACTCAGGTATCTGCCCTCATAGGACCTTTCATAGTCTGCAAATGCATTTTACCATATGAAGCCACCACCATTGTAGTAGGTAGTGAACAGCTGGTACCACATATTCCCACAAAAGTAAAAGAAAGCAGAATCTGAGTGGGGTCACCCTGTGAGCTGTGTTCTCCATTTGTTTCTACAGGGAGCCCCGCAAGGTAGTCCTTCACAAAGGCTCCACTGGCCTGGGCTTCAACATTGTGGGCGGGGAAGATGGAGAAGGTATTTTTGTATCCTTCATTCTGGCTGGTGGACCAGCAGACCTGAGTGGGGAGCTCCAGAGAGGAGACCAGATCTTATCGGTGAGTATGTCTCTTTAATATTCTTTCCATCTATATCTAGCATCAGGTTTGGGAGCATTGCAGATGAGGTGGTCCATAGGTACTTGATGCTTGTTACTTTACTCCTCTTGAATAAAGGTGTATGAGGCTCTAGTGTCTTCTTTTAGATGGTGATACATATCTGTTTGCAATAGAACATTGAGAAACAGGCCTTATTAAAATGGTATACCATTTGTTTATTGAGATACAATCTCCCCAGAACTTGTGACCACACTCCTAAAACTTCAGTTTTATAATATAGTTTGATGCATATAAGTATGTAAGAGAATGCCACTGGGTATGGTGATGGTGATAAGTGGCAGTGGGCAGCATTCACCTAAGTTCAAGAATTACCAGCAGCAACAACAAAAAATTTAAAAGAGAATTACCAGTAAAAACGTTCTAAGCATATATTATTTGCTAGTAATTTTATTAAAGTGAAGTTTAAGGTCACTTTACTAAGGTATCTGATAAACAAAAACCTGTACCTATTTAGTATATACAACTGAATGTGTTTAGAAAAATGTGCATTTCTATGAATCTCTTATCATGGGGTACCATCATAAATATATCCATCATCTCTAATATTTCTCCTAATATTCTGTCTGTGGTGTTGTCACTTAAAACACACTTATATCACACCTAACCCATTAACAAAAAAATGTTAAGCAGGCTAGAGAAATGGCCCAGTCTGTAAGATGCCGGCTGGGCAAGCATCAGGAACTGAGTTCAGATCCCCAGCACTCCTAAAAACCTGGGCACAGTGCTACACACCTATATTCCCAGTGCCATGAAGGTAGACAGAGGAAAACAGTCAGTGTCAACCTCTGGTACACACACAGACACACACACACACACACACACACACACACACACACACACACACACTGAAAAGAATTAAATATACAGTACACACAGTATTATTAACTGTAGGTACTATGCTGTAACATAGATTTAGAGATCGTATTCATCTTTCATAACTATAAAATTTATTTTCAAGTTTCATGAAGGTATCTCCCCATGTTTATATGAGAGAATCAGACCCACTAATAATGAGTAATGTCAAAGTTTAGCAAGTTAATGTATATGATTAATTTCTTAGCTATCAAAAATTTGAGTAAAGTTTCAAATTTAAGGTCCAGTTCTACTGGCCCTGTCCTTTCTTGCTTCCTCCCTTTTGTTTTTCCTTTTCTCTTGCTTTCTTATATTTTCTCGTGTGTGTTCGTGTACTTATTGACTGTTTTTACCACATAAAGCTTCCTCCCTGGTGTAGTGGATAGTTAAATCCATTGCTAATGTTCATAATCATATTAGAGTTTTGGTAATAATGTAAATAATAGAGAATTACATAAGGATTCTAGTTCTTATAGAAGATTATGGTTCATAATTCAATAAAGCACATAGCTTTTTATTCTTACTGTATACTGAGAAAAATTGTTTTCATTTTATAGCTATGATTTATAGACAGAATTTTTCAAGACACCTTAATTTGTTAGCTTTTATTCCAATCCCTTAAATAAATGAACAAATCTCTCTCCCTCCATTCTATTGCTGCCTCTTTCTCTACCCTTATTTTATACTCCTATCTATCTATCTATCTAACACACACACACACACACACACACACACACACACACACACACAGGTACACATACAATTTCCCTAAATAGTATGCAGCAGTTGACCTGAATACAGACAATTCCCAGAAGTCCACATGAATGGCACTCGCTTGTGTGTCACTATGGTTCTTCCATATACTCAGACCTCTACCATCCAAGAGCTCGCAACTCACTGGATGCTAAATCTGAGAGATGTGTTGCAAGGTCTCATACAAGGACCTTTTTCTGTCATCCAAGGGCTAAGCAATGTCTTTGACACTTAAATGACATACAGTATATACCAGACAGTTATTCAGCCTTATTGCCTATGTTGTTAACATGTCACTTTCGTCACTACCTGGTAAGATCTCTGAAAGAAAATTCCCTGTCTTAAAAGGAATTTAGCACATTTAGTACAGTGACTGTTTCATAGTGTTTGTTTGAAAGAAGTCATTATAGCATAAGAGTCTGATTCTGAAATATTCCATAAGTAGACAGTAACCTTAAGTAGACATACAAGGGAATTTGTACTCTGGGTAGCCATCCTGTCATCTCTTCATGGTCAGCACTCACATGGTCACAGCACATTCTCAGACAGAAGCACTTTTACATGAACTGAGCCATGACCTTCCTTAAGGAGATGACAACTCTCATGGTAAGTTCCTGTTTCTCCAACTTTCCACACTGGAACTGAGATTCCAGAAGGACAAATGATTTCTCTCAGCTCCATCACTACTGACTATGTAGTTAGACTAACTCCTCTTGACTCAAAATCTGAGTCTTCCCTCTACACAGCAGTCTTTAAAATTCTTGGTGCTCATTGCTCTGATCTCATGCTGTGGTTGGAAACTCTAAAGCACTAATACATGTGGGGCTTTTCATTCAGGCAGTATTTATAGCTGATTTAATCTTATAGCCGCACTAAATATTATTACACTCAGTTTAAGGAGGATGAAACTGAAGCAAGAATGTTCTATCAGATTCTTTATTTCCACCAAAGTAGGAAACCTAAGAAGCCATGAGTTTCGTTCTGACTTCTATCCAATGTGACAAAATACAGAGGATAAAGACTGTGTATGACTCAAAAGAAGAAAACTCAAAAGTATTTCTGCCTTTAATAGTAGATGTATCAAATTAAATATTAGAAGCACAAATGAAGTAAGGCAATGAACCAGATAATAGTCTTAAAAATTATAATTCATGGGACTTGACAGTCTCTGAATTTCTAATGGCATGGCCTTTATTATACACAACATTTGCAAAAGAATTAGATGGCAAAAATATTATCTGGAAGTTATTCCCCATTGGAAAGGAACAGGGAACATTTTTTTTTCTTTTTAACTTGCTTGAGTTTATTTAACTTTCAGTAGAAAGCATCTAATTTCAAGTTAAGTGCTGTAGTTCTTGAGTAACTATCTGAGAAAAAGGAAACCTTGAGAGTCTCTAATGATATAAAAGATTGGAAGGAAATGACAAATTAGAATTATGAACAGTGCAATGTGAAAGATACAGAATTTCACATCCACAGCTTCAACTGACCATTAAAAGCAAGGGGTGCATTCCCAAAAAAACACAAAGCAAAAACTTTGACAGTCAAAGCTAAATAAAAACTCTATACATGACCTCCCCCAACAGCCATAACTGGCTTAATCTTGGGCAGGTTTTCTAGGCAACCATAGCTGCTGTGAATTCCTGAGTGTGGCAGATAGGTTATTCTCGGATGACCTTGCTTCCCAGAAGTCCTCCCAACTTCTGGCTCTTTCAATCTTCCTACCCTCTGTCTGCAACATTTCCTGTGCTTCCAGATAAGAGGGTGTGATGTAGATATTTCTGATGTTTTTTAAGTATCAGATAACCATGACTAAGGTAGAATTGGTATGGCTTAGATTTTTGTTTTTGTTTTAGAGAGGGTTTAGACTAGGTCTGTAACCCACCCCCCAAGAAGAATGTTTCACAAAATAGTTGAAGTGGATTGCTGCCATAGTTTCTTAGTAACAAGTGTCTTCACTGAAGAACTTGTCAAAACCTCTGTGTATCAGTGTGCCCTGGGAATGTCCCGAAGGCAGAAAAACCAGTAGATGGCTTTTACAAACTTCTTTAGCCACCAAACCCTTACATAACCCATACCTTGGAGGACAGTAAGGTGAGAAGTATGTGGGTAGATATTTTTATACTTCCCATAGTTAACCATTTCTTATACTCTTTTTATTATATTTTTAATTTAGCAAACAATGGGTTTCATCATGACATTTTCATCCATATATGCCAATGCATATTGTTCTTTGCCCCCCTCCTCCACTTCCCTCCCCTAGCCTATCTGCCTCATCTTTCTAGGCCCCTCCTAACCCTTCCAGTCACTCTCCCTCTTCTTTTGGGAATTCCATTTCCTTCACCCCACTCCCCTTGCAGACACAGGATTGTGGGCGCCATCTAGTGTTTAGTGTTGTGTACTGTCTGAACACATTGCCTGTCAACTTGAAGCCATATTCCATTGTGGAGACTTACTCCTTCCTGTTCCCACCAGATCTTCAGCCTGAAGTAGCTAAGATAATGAAAAATTTTTAAAAGTCATCATCTTAGGTTACATTTCATACATGTATTGTGGGTGATCTTTTTTCTGTAATTTCTCCCTTACATAATTTATTTGGGATTCATTGTAGAAAGAAATTCCAGCCATTGAACCACCTTCTTTTTTTTTGTTTGTTTGTTTTGGTTTTTCGAGACAGGGTTTCTCTGTGTAGCTTTGGAGCCTGTTCTGGAACTCACTCTGTAGCCCAGGCTGGCCTCAAACTCACAGAGATCCACCTGCCTCTGCCTCCCGAGTGCTGGGATTAAAGGCGTGCGCCACCACCGCCTGGTTGAACCACCTTCTTGAAGTATTCTCAAGACAGATTTTAGGGCATTCACCGGGCAAATACATTAACTAGTACAGTGGCCTCCTCTGGCAATCTTCCTGCAGAAGGGACCGTAGAAATGCTTCTGATATTGTTTGTTTCGGTGTTCTGTTATGGGGGAAAATGTGAACCAAGTGTGTTCTGGAGGCTGGGAAATCCAGAAGCACAAGGCCATCACCTCCTGGGGCCCCTCTGGCTGCACTAGAACAGAAAGAGAATATCCTGTGACAACACAAAGCAAGCATACAAGATGAAGTCTCTCCCTCTCTGGAAAGCCACTAATGCTAACATGAGAGCACCGTCCCATCCTTATTACCTTCCAAGGGCCCAGCAACTTCCAAACACCGTTAACATATTAATCTAAGGAGTTAATTCACAACATGTAAACTGTGACTTATGCTCTTAACCCCTAACAGTCCAGCTCTGCCCTAAGAGCCCTCTAATCTTGTTGGTTGCCAAGGGTGTACATACAAACACCTGGGTCACATAC